TAACGTACGCAACAGATTTTTCCCCCATACAATATTTTTACTAGTAACACATACTAAATTAAGTTTTTTCAGTTCTTCTCTCCACCGTTTCGCGTTTTCAAAACCTTTTTCCGTCATCTGAATACGAAATTTAAAGTTATAAAGCCGTTTGAATTCATTTGCTTACATTTTCGGTTTACATTTTCATGAAAACACGCATATATGCGAAAGTCTGCGAATCATGGGAGTTTTTTTTTCTTTAAAAATTCCTAAACTAAGCTAAATAATGTACCTTTACAATCCTTTCATATTTTAACCGTAGATCGAGCTTAAAAAATAATTCATAAATGAAGCCATGTATCATTTTTGATACATACTATAGTTCATAGGAAAAACTGAAGAGTTTACATGTTTAGGTGTTATTTATGCAATCTATGCAAACATTTTTGGCATGTTTGTCATTACAGCACGGCTTTTTACATGAAAAACAGAATGACGAAGTCCACTTATTTTTGTTTTCTCCAGAATGAAAGCATTTTTGACACCTTGCGCGGTTTTTTTTTGGAGACTTATCAGTTTTTTGTTTTTTTGATGGGCCAGCATCATTATCATTAATAACGGGGATATTCTTACTTGAGAGTTTCGAAAGCAGCGCCAGAGATAGTTCATTTCTTGGGCCTTGTTTACGTTTTTCCATATAAGACTTTGCCAACGAAATTGCCAACTCATGCAGGAAACATTTACGTTTTGTGTGCTTTTGAGTTTGCTTCTAATTGGGGTCGATTTCGTTGTATAAAATAAAAGAATTCAAAGCGGAAATATCAATAATGTTGGAAAATACCGCCATAGTCCAACGATTATTTTTACGTTTACAACTGTAGCAACTTAGCATTTTGTCAACCGTGTCCACGCCTCCCTTCGTTGAGTTATAAAAAGAGATTATTTCGGGCAACTTTTTAGAGTCATCCCCAATATTAGGTGCGTGATGCATTGTACTCATGACAAATGTACACTTGTTTTTATGACTGATGTACGAAACGAGACTGGTATCAGGAGTAAAGGCAAAAGTTGATTCATATCGTGGAATTTTTTTGCAATTCAGTAGCTTTGGGGGAATAGATCTTTTATTTTTGCGCATAGTTCCAACCATTGTCATATTCTTTTGTAATAGTTTTTGGCCAAGGCTGAGATGAAAAAAAAATTGTCCATGGTGACGTTATGCCCTTTTAGTCCATCAACTAAATCAAGAACAACCCGTTCTCCTTGATTCCTCTCAGGATTTCCTGTCACACCTTTTCCCAAGTAGGGCTGTGCGTGAATCAACAAGTAGCCAAAATTTTAAACCATATCTCTCTGGCTTCGATGGAATGTACTGGCGAAATTTACAACGACCATGAAATCCCAATAATTGCTCATCCACAGTAACAGAATCAGAAGGATTGTAGAATGTGGGAAGCCGTTCAGACCATTTTCCCCAAAGGTTTCTAATTGGTGCGAATTTGTCATCATTTCTTTGGCCTCGTCGGGTGAGCACATCATCAAAACGAATGACTTTGTGGATATATAAAAATGTTTTCTCAGACATAATTGACCGAAATATTGGCCGTCCACAATATTCATCAAACAAATCATGCAAAGTTTCATTTTTGGATCTGATATAGTAGTTATAAGTTTATATTTTTTTTAAACTTTTCTGTTGTTAAACTTACTTATATACACCGGCCAGCAATAATACGGCCAAGTAGGCATGAAATAAATCCTCGTAAATTTCGATATGGTTAGACCCATGTATATACTTTCCGTAGTTGTTTGAGTTATCAATTACAATTTTTGATAGTGACGGCGGAAAAAGTAGTAGGAATGAATCCCGAATATTATTCACCCGGCTGGATGCAAATCTTGTTACACCTAAAGCCCAGTAATCTTAATTCTATGACACTTCAATAAACAATTACTACTAACCTGGGCGTAAATTTATGATATTTTCTCTCCCCAATCGACCAGTGGCGTAAGGCTCGGTACGCCAAGTAGTACCATCTTTTGCTATATACATTGGATCAGCTTCTGAAGTACTGCCAATAATGTCATCCGGTTCAGGTAAGCAGCTTTCAGACGAACTGCTTTCAATTTCAGTTTCAGGATCGGAAACATCTTCATCCTCTTCACTCTCATCCAGTACTTCATTCACTAGTTCCTCAAAGGTCAAAAACCGTGGACGCGACATTATTTTGAATACACACAATTATGTGACAAAATAAATGAATCTTCAAAAAAGCACCCCAAGAAACAAAAAAACACCACAAATACCAAAAATCGCGTAGCGAATGACGTGCACCGCAGCAAAAAAACGTTTGAATTGCCATATGTATCAAAAATGATACATAGCTCGAATTATGAAGTTTTTGAATTTCTCATGGCCTACTTGCAAAATTTTTTGAAAATATGTTTAAAAATAACAGCAATAACAAAATAAACATAGTCGCGAAGAATGCAGCACTCAATTTTCTTTTTAAAGAAGTTATGATAAGATATAAAACAAAATGTATCATTTTTGATACAAAGCTCGATTAACGGTTAAGAGAAATTATCTCTGGCTAGTTTTATATTAAAAAAAAAAAACAATAACGTACGCGACATAACGTACGCGACAATTTTTCTCGTAAGTTATAAAATGTATTTATTGAGAACTCTTCTCGCCACCGTTTCATTTGGGAATTCACAAGGTGTCGTATTTGTCGTGTTTGTCGTGAAGTCATGATATTTCATGACAGTTGTAAAAATGTTGTTATTGTTTTGTGAAGAAAAATAACACATGACGATACAACTCTGCAACCTATGTTTATTCGGTGTTATGTGAGGTTGAGTGCGTGTTTTAACACAACTTTTGTTAGGAAAATATAACTTCACAACACCTTGTGAATTGCCCAATTGTTTTACAACTACCCTGCAAAAATCGTTGGATCATGTAGTCTATTTGTGGTAAATTGGAGTACTTACAAAAGTGTTCCTCTGTCATGCTGTAGCGGACCAACTGGTGTCTCTGCGCTAGCTTATTGTTTGTTATCCGATCACTGCTTGTGTTTTAACGAAACGTGATTGAATTGAGCATTTGAAAGCACATTTGCATGTCTGGCTGTAGCTGAACGTGTAGAGATGCTCGCTGTTAGTTCTTAGCTCCCAGCATGTTCGGGTTCGAATGCCGTCAGAGGCAACATGTAATTTTTATACCCGAGCGCACTTGTGCACAAGGGTATTATAACTTTGTTCACATAACGGTTGTTTGTAACATATCGATACCTCAACTGCAAATATATTGGAAATATTTGAGATAGGGCGTTTTTGAACCGTATTCTGAAATAGGGTGTTCTTGAAAAGTTTTCTGAGATAGGGCGTTTTCCAATCAAATTCTGAAATAGGGCGCTTTTGAAAAGTTTTCTGAGATAGGTCGTTTTCGAACTTTCTTCCGAGATAGGTCGATCTTCCACTCAGGTGCCGCAAAGCTTTATGTCACAGAAAACGCCTGAAAATTACTTTCGCTTAGTTGAATTTAAAAGGATGAAAAATTATCGATATAAGTAGGTATCGATACATTCGCTTGACTTATATAAGTAGTATCGAAATAGCTATTTGAGTAAACTCATTTGAGTAGGTATCGATACTTTGAGGGTATCGGAACGTCCCTAACTATTAGTTTGAAAATAAATTAAAAGTTGTATTTTCTTAGCTTTTAAATACGTTCAATATAATAAATGTACGTAAATAAAATCTTACATGTGTACCCCTTTTCCATTTAACGGGTCGCCATTATAAAGCATCGACATTATCGATGGTTGTCTATAAAAACTATCGAAAACCGTCGATGGTGCCACTATCGATAATTTTGCAGCACTAATAACGGGATAGTTTGTGTTGTTCTTTTTTCAAAACTTTTTTCATGTTGTATTAACAGTATAATTTAGTTAAATTAACCAAAAAGGTGCCACTATCGATGGTTTTGCAGCACAAGTAACGAGATAGTTTGTGTTGTACTTTTTTCAACAATTTTTTCATGTTGTATCACCAGTATAATTTAGTGGAATGAACCAAAAAGGCTAATTGACTTTGAGAAGTAAATGCTATGTTTGAAACATCATGTAATTTCCAGAAATTGTTGTTGGTTTGCATGTAAAAACTGATCGTGTGAATCTAACATGAATCGTGTTGTTTAAAAACGAGGATTATTTTTCTGGGTCTATGTACAGTTCATGGAGAAAGACCCTGCAGTACGGGGGAGCGACTACAGGAGTGCTGAATCGGTAGCTACGTGATAAACTCCGTCAATTACCGACTGACTACTTGCAGTGAATTTCATCGATTACTTTTACAAGGCAATGTCCTAGGCGGTAGTCACCATCGGCTATCTCTGCACTACCGGGAGTTACTAAAGTAGTCACTTCCGTAGTTTATGGGCGCCCCCTGTCGTAGTTTTTCGCTGTCTGCTTCGACTCTGCACTACCATGCGCACTACCACGGGTTAATAGAGTAGCTACTTACCTAAGAGTCGGTGCAGTAGCGGTTCAAAATTAGCGATTGACTCCAGCAGTACTGGAGGGAACTAATATTGCTGTAAGCGCTTACATTTGTATATGCATGTTTATGTACATACTAGGGATGTTGCGAATGTTGAATTTTAGACATCCGCGGATGCGAATGCGGATGTTTAATAGCTAACATCCGCGGATGCGGATGCCAAGTGTTTTTAAGAAATAATTTTGGTGAGTAAATTAGGTGATTTAGTTAAATACAAAATGGAAAGGTTACTAATTTTTAATAATGTTTATGTTTAGTACTTGAATTTAAAAATTGGAAAATTGTATTTAATAAAAAGTTTTTAAAGGGTCGTAAATTAAACCTGCGCCACTAAATAACTAGTCGCTCGAGGCGACAAATTTGAAAAACTTGAAATTTTACAAAATTGTAAATTCTTTTCGATTGACGCTGCACCAGTCGAGAGGACTTTCAGTTATATATATATTTTCTTCCTTTTTGAGAAATGCAGCGGGGTTGCAAATGTCGAATGTATCCTCCTGACTTTCCTCTTCACAATCTAGCATCATGGCAAGATCGTTGTTTTAACACCGTTGTTTTCCAAAGAATTCTTCATTCTCATTCTTTTGGTAGTTTCTGAATTTGGAGAACCTGTAGCGTCAACGCGTTTTTCGATTCTAGTTTTTGCAACTCATTTTTAATCCTTTCTTCTGTGACTGACCAAATATACGTTTTATCATTACACTTGCGCAATATTCCAGGGACCGAAAATAACAGTTATTTTTTACCAGCAACAACAACTTATCAAAATTAAACATGTTTGGTATCATATGAAAGTGGACTGAAATAGCTTTTAAACAGAAATAACGAACGAAGGTTACCGCCTCTATTTATTTTTTTTTTATATCATGTAATACTAAAGAAATTCATATATCTACCTAACCCAAGGTTTGTTCATTGGTAATTAATTAAAGGCTCTGGCACATACAGCTTTCGTGCTGCTTTGGCGTTGGTTTTGCTTTGACAGCTAAGATAAATACATACGTTCATATCAAGTAGTTCTCATAGGCAACGCTGACGCCACAGAAACACGAACGCTGGTTAACTCTTGCCGTTTTGCGCGCGTTGACACTCCCTTAATGTAATTATTCACTTTTTACTTATAAACACACTAAATCGTGTAAAGAAAAAAAGAATAAGGACGACGACCAAACGCTTCCATTTTAAAAATGTTTGAATGTTTTTGTAGCAAACACTTGCCCTACTTGCGTTGCTGTCAAAATGAAACAACGCCGAGGCGACGCGAAAGCTGTATATGACAGAGCCTTAACACTGCATACCAGGGTTGTTGCGAATATTCGCATTCGCATTCGCAATCGCGGACCTTCCGCATTAGTTTTAACATTCGCAATCGCTTTTACATTCGCAATAATCAATGCGGATCTTTTGCGAATGCGAATATTGAAGGGACCGAAAATAACAGTTATTTTTTTACGAGTTAAACTTGGCCAAATATTTTTATTTGGAAATTAAAGTCCTTTCCGGATAATAAACAAACCGCTTATCAAAATTAAACAAGTTTGGTATCAAATGAAATAGGACTGAAATAGCTCTAAAACTGAAATGTCTAAACAAGCAAAGCCACCTATTGAAAAATATTTCAATAAAAAATGTTAATTAATTACCATTGAACAAACATTGGGTAAGGTATATGAATTTCTTTAGTATTAAATGATATAAAAAAAATATAAATAGTGGCGGTAACCTTCGTTCGTTATTTCTGTTTAAAAGCTATTTCAGTCCACTTTTATATGATACCAAATATGTTTAATTTTGATAAGTTGTTTGTTTATCATCCGGAAAGGACTTTTATTTTGGAATAAAAAATATTAGACCAAGTTTAACTGGTAAAAAAATAACTGTTATTTTCGGTCCCTGGAATATTGCGCAAGCGCAACGATAAAACGTATTCTGGTCAGTCACAGAAGAAAGGATTAAAAATGAGTTGCAAAAACTAAAATCGAAAAACGCTGTTGACGCTACAGGTTCTCCAAATTCAGAAATAACCATAAGAATGGGAATGAAGAATTCTTTGGAAAACAAGGGTGTTAAAACAACGATCTTGCCATGATGCTAGATTGTGAAGAGGAAAGTCAGGAGGTTACATTCGACATTTGCAACCCCGATGCATTTCTCAAAAAGGAAAAAAAAATATATATAACTGAAAGTCCTCTCGAATGGTGCAGCGTTAATCGAAAAGAATTTACAATTTTGTAAAATTTCAAGTTTTTCAAGTTTGTCGCCTCGAGCGAGTAGTTATTTAGTGACGCAGGTTTAAATTACGACCCTTTAAAAACTTTTTATTAAATACAATTTTCCAATTTTTAAATTCAACTACTAAACATAAACATTATTAAAAATTACCAACCTTTCCATTTTGTATTTAACTAAATCACCTAATTT